GCCGGGCTTTATAGCAGGCACCTGTAGTCCCAGCTACTTGAGAGGAGGAGGCAGGAGAATCGCTTGAGCCTAGGAGTTGGAGGTTGCTGTGAGCTGTGATGGCACAGCACTCTACCCAGGGAGATAGCTTGAGGGTCTGTCTCAAAAAATAAATAAATAAAAAGTGACACTGTTATTCTGGACAAACTCATATTAATCAAGCTCACAAAAGAAAATAATGCTACAAGAATGCTAGGTTATTATTTCATAGGGCAAATTATCTTCCAAGAGGACCAACCATTCCCATCCTCCACCATTTTTTTCAGGAGACAAACTATTTCTCCAGTTGTTAATTAACAATACAAGAACATTAGGCCTGGCAAGATGGCTCAAGCTTGTAATCCTAGCACTGTGGGAGGCCAAGGTGGGAGGATCACTGGAGCTCAGGAGTTTGAGAGCAGCCTAAGCAAGAGTAAGACCCAGTCTCTACTAAAAATAGAAAAAACTAGCCAGGCAGATGGCTAGTCTTCCATCTGTGGCAGATGCCCATAGTCCCAGCTATTGGGAGATTGAGGCAAGAGGATCACTTGAGCCCAAGAGTTAGAGGTTGCTGTGAACTATGATGCCACAGCACTCTACCAAGGGTGGCAAAGCGGGACTCTTTCTCAAAAAAAAGAAATAATAAAAATAAAAACATCTCCAGACATGGGCGGTACCTGTGGCTCAAAGGAGTAGGGCGCCAACCCCATATGCTAGAGATGGTGGGTTCAAACCCAGCCCTGGCCAAAAAAAGAAAAAAACATCTCCAGACATTACCCATGTCCCCTAGTCACTAGTCGAGAATCACTGGGTTATTTAGAATATTGTTAGGGCACAAAAGGCATGAATTATAAAAGAAAAAAACTGACAAATTGGGCTTTATTGGGGTAGTGCCTGTGGCTCAAAGGAGTAGGGCACTGGTCCCATATGCCAGAGGTGGTGGGTTCAAATCCAGCCCCAGTCAAAAACTGCAAAAAAAAATAAAAATAAATAAATTGGGCTTTATTAACATTAAACAGGCAGTGGCTTACTAATATAATCCCCGCAAATTGGGAGGCCAAGGCAAGAGGATCACTTGAGCCCAAATGTTGGAGACCAGCCTGAGCAACAAAGTGAGACACCATCTCTACAAAAAATATTTCTTTAAAAATTAGCCAAGTGTGGTAGTGCACACCTGTAGTCCTACCTACTTGAGAGGCTGAGGCAGGAGGACCATTTTGAGCCCAGGAGTTTGAGGCTGCAGTGAGCTATAATTATACTATTGGATTCCAGCCTAGGTGACAGAGAGGAACACTATCTCTACTATCTCTAAACAACGACAACAAATAACTTTTGCCCTTCAGAGGACACGGTTTTTTGGGGTTTTTTTTTTTTTTTTTGACTGGGGCTGGGTTTAAACCTGCCACCTCTGGCATATGGGGCTGGGGCCCTACTCCTTTGAGCCATAGGTGCTGCCCTGAGGGCACTGTTAAGAATGTGAAAGGATGGGCTCAGCACCCATAGTACAGTGGTCCCGGTGCCAGCTGCATACACTGAGGCTGGAGGGTTTGAACCCAGCCCAGGCCAGCTAAACGACAATGACAACGCAACAAAAAATAGCTGGTGTTGTGGTGGGTGCCTGTAGTCCCAGCTACTTGGGAGGCTGAGGCAAGAGAATCGCTGAAGTCCAAGAGTTTGAGGTTGCTGTGAGCTAGTATGCCACAGCGCTCTACTGAGAGTCACATAGTGAGACTCTGTCTCAAAAAAACAAACAAAAGAAAAGAATGTGAAAGGATGACTGTGTAATTCCTAACAATTAATACAGAATACTCTGTTGACCAAATGTGGGAAGGATGTCCCCACACACCAACCAAATATTCAATTCTGTAGCAAACACCAGCTAGATGTCCTCCAATTTAATTTTGGCCTTGTTTATCCAGAGATAGTATCAGGATCCAGAGGTTGTAGACAGTCCCACCAGACTGTCCCTAATTCCAAGTTCTAGGTTGTTTAACCTGTGTTTTTGACCAACCAGCTTGGTTGACCAAATCAAGGTTTCCACTACCCCTTCTTGGGCTTTATGAATTTGTTAGAGCGGCTCCCAGAACTCAGGGGACTACTTACTTATGTTTACCTGTTTATTATAAAGGCTATCACAAAGGATGCAAAGGAAGAGAAGTGGAGGGCAAGGTATGGGGGAAGGGACACAGAGCTTCCATGCCGCCCTGGAG